TACTCTCGGCCTGGAGTATGCTGAGCTCTGCTCTTTGTTTAGAACAGATAAAAAATTTTTCTCAGCGCCCTCCTAGCCCACTTGGCAGAACATCCCGTTTGCAGGCAAGTTCTCCCAAGGTCAGCAGACACCTCGCTTTCAAGCATGTCTGTTGTTACCTATCTAAACCTTGAAGAAGCCTCTCGTTTGCAAGCAGACTCTCCCAGGGACAGCAAACATCTCGTTTTCAAGCATGTCCGCTGTTGCCTTTCTATGTCTTGACAGAATATCCTGTTTGCAGGCAGACTCCATCAAGGACAGTAATAGTAACGCAGTCACATCTGATTCTCTACAAGGTGTCACATCCTCCAGGGGTCCTTCCTTGATCCACAGTGGGAAGCCATCTCCCCTCCATCTGTGCATCCCCACATTTCAGCTGTGCCCCTCACTGTCTAGCATCTGTGGCAGGTGTGTAGGTCCATTTCTTCTTTTAAATTTTTGAAAGTTTGAGAGCAAAGCATAGGTTTTTTTTAAGTATCTGTATCCCTGATGAAGTGTCTAGCCTGCATATAAAATGTCCTCAATAAAACCTGTGCTGAATTTAAGTAAATTTTATAGTTTATTTTTTATTCTCTGCCTTCCAGACACCTGTGTTGTAGTTGAGACATTTGATGCCCTTCTTGTTCAAAGTCTTGCTTTGCCAGGAGACTTCATGCTTTTCTAGTTGTACATTCTTTTCTGAGTCTCTGAGGGGAAACACAGTTTTGCCTCTTACTAATTCTGTTATTAGATTTTAGGGAAATATTAGCATAAGACTATTGTTCCAAGTGCTCTAAACCAAAAGAGCAGGGAAGGATGAAGGTCCTCCATATCCAGTGTGGTTTATGGTGAAGCAGCAGATTCATTACATGGGAGTTTGGTAGAAATGTAGACTCTGTGGCCTGGTGTCAGACTTACTGAATTCCAGTTTTCATTTGAACAAAATCATCAGAAGATTCACAGATACATTAAAGGTTGAGAGGCACATCATTGTGGTGATACCTGAAATATGGCCCAAGGGCATCACTTAGAAAGGAACCAAAATGAGGAGCCAAAGCGCTGCTCTTGAGGACTGAAGTAGGTCTACGTGAGTAAGGTGCATTCTCAGGAGTTATGCTCTCTACAGTTGCTCCTGCAAACACTGTTAGTGAACACTGAGCCATGCTCCTAGGGTAAATAGAGGGGTAGGTTCCTTTGAGTTTCTGTTCACAATATTTTTGCTACCTGATGAATACATAGCCTTGTATTTGTGTATTTTTGTTTAAAAATCTTATTTAATATATATTTACAAGTAATTCATTGTATGCCATATTTCTTTAAGCAGCATTATCTGAGAAATGTTCTATAATTTTCCGACCCTTAATGATGTGATCACAAATTTTCTTGGCTTTTAACCTTTCTATGATGCTGTCTACCATATGCAAAAGAATCAGTTGTCATCTCAAGAAACCCCAGATTTAGTTATTGTCTTAGCTTTATCATAGCATTATAGGTGTGACTTTACAATGTAACTTCACCTAATACTCATCAAATTTTATCTTTCTTTTCCAGTGCATTGTATTGTTCATTAACACTGAACTCACAGCCAACAGCATTATAACTATAACAAGGCTGATCTAAAACACCTTCTTCCTGAGTAATACACATCACAGCCTTTTTCAGTTTAAGGATATTGGATAGCACTGTGGAGATATTTTGGGGCCATTTAAATGGACAATATCAATGACAAAGAGCACAAAGTGTGAAAAACATGGCACTCACTAGGCCACACAGGATGCTTGTCCTGCAGAGAGAAGGAAAACCTGAAGACAGAGCTTCACTATTTTTTTAACTTTCATAGGTAATGTGTCCTTCTTTTGACTACCATTTTGCACCACTCTGTACATATCTATGAATGACTGCAAAAGTTCTGTGAGTATTTAGTTTGGGGTTATAAAGTTTTCCACAGGTAGACAAATTAGAAATCTAGAAATCCTGACTAATGGGGATTGACTAGTGACCCCAACTGGCAGTGAGAATTAAGACATTTACAACCAGATTTTAGTTATTTTATATTCATAAACTGATTTAACAGTTCTTAGGCACCTACTGTACACCTACTATGCAGCAATTGCCTATTGAGAATACTATGATGAAAGAAAAAAGATCATCACTGTGTTCTGAGCTTGAAAATTTTGACTACCCACTTTGATTCTGCAGTTTATTATTTTCATTGTTTCTCTTTTTCCTGGCTTCTGGGAAGATCTTACTTGAGGTGAACTTGGGAATAGAGACTTAGTCTCATTTTGCTTCATCAGCTGATAGGAGGGACCCAGGGGAAGGGGAACATCTAGAGAGACCAGATGCAGGTGCCAGCACATGTAAGAAAATTTCCCATGGATTTCCTCCTGATAAATTCATTCCTGCATTCACTTGTCCTGCCTCCATGCATCAAACATCTATTATTTATTATTTGTATGGCAAACATATTCACTGAGAATAGTTCCAAAATGGAATTAGTCTTGTTTAGATTAAAATGCAGTGTGCAGATCTTATTTAATTCTGACTGTAACTGGAAAAATATGGGGAAAGTAGCCCAAAGGCAGATAAAATCCTACATTTACAGCAATGTTTCAGCTACCAAGCTCCCCACACCAATATGGTTTACTTAGAAGTACCAAATATAGTTTTCCTGTTCATCTAGAAGTAGTAGGTTGAGAAAATGGTCCTAACGGACAAACAGTTGTCATGGTAGATGAGCAGTCTATATCAGGCACCAGAATTACAATTTGGAACAGAGTGAAAAAGCAATTTTTCTCTTTGAACACCTGCTGATGCTTGTGAATGTTAATATTTCAAAACTAGGTGGCGCAGAGAGCTGAACAGTCAACYCAGGTTGTGAGGCTGTGGAGTATTGAGGCTTTCTTAGGAAAAACAAAAAGATTGATTTTTGAATTTTGTGTACATGTGTGACAACATTACATGACAGTAGCAGTCACCTCTGTACCGTTCTACTGAAGCAATTGTGTCAGAGGCTCACTTCAGTTGCATGTCACATCCTCTGTGCCTTTGTCCCTAGACTTCCTGCAATGTGGTTGGGACACCTTAGAGAAGCTACTGAGCATTTGTCAATGCTCAGAACTGCAAGTGTTGGAGTGTAACACCCTGTGGACAATCCTTGACAGTTAATGGATAGCAGGTCATGAATATGCACTCTTCTCATTTCTCAGATGGATATTTCAGAGACACAATCTGTATGGAGAAATCAGAAGCCCCCAGCAAGATCAGATCCCAGTTTTTCATAGTAGTGACCAGCCTTATAGCATCATGTATTGGCTTTCCCTCCTTCCTGTCTTACCCTCCTAAAGTCCCCTCCTGCTACCTGTCCCCAAATAAATGTCCCCAAATAAAGTTTTATCTTAAAAGCTCCCAATGCTGATATGGACTACTTGGGTTTTGTCTTATCTTCTGTTTTAGGATGTGCATTGAAAAAGAAATCCAAGCATGATCCACTAATATGTTCAGCACTCAGAAGTTCAGTGCTTGTCTTTCCAGTCAGTAACCTCTTAAAGGCAGCCAATATTCTGATCTCTGCCACCCTAGATTAGTTTTGATTCCATTTTTTGAATCTCATATTTTGTAAYCTTAATGGTAAGTACTACTAAATGTCTGCATTTTTTTCACTGAACATTATTTTTTGACATTTATTCATGTTGTTCCGTATAGCATTAGTTCAATTTTTTTTCCTTGCTATGTAGTATTACATTATGTGACTATGTAATATTGTTTCCATTCTGCTGTAAATGGACATTTTAACTGTTGCTAGATTTTAGCTATTTTG